GTTTCCCAGACAAAACATGAAAAGCCACTCGCACGCTCACTCTTTTCCTCCTGCAGCAATAGGCTGAAGTCTAGATGAATTATTTGGCGTGCCCTGATTCCCCAGTTCCCGTGCTGCCAGCTTGTCTTGCGTGCCTCTAGCACTTTTTGCCCAATGACCCGAAATCTCACTCTGTGCTTACTGCAAAGATTTAGAGGAAGAAATTCAGCCCCTTGTGCCTGGCTCATTTGAGACATTAAGGTTTTGCAGAGAATCTGCTTTTCAGACATGGTGGATGCTGCTTTATCTGCTGTTTAAAAATAGGCAACAAAGTAAATCAACTGATCAAGGAAGAAAATAAACCAGGACAGCCCAGAGAGGAGAGCACCTCACCCTCCTAACCCGGCCAGACTGGCTGCACCACACTGCCCTGAACATCACCTCTCTCTTTCTGGGGGGGACGGGCCGATCCCCACTGTCGATTCGGTTTTATTTTGCAGTACCTTCACTCCTTCAGGACTCAGAACCATTACAGTGACTCTGTGAAAGCCATTAATCCGTACAATAGGTCCATATTTCTCTGCCCTAAAAGGAGGAGGAAAAAAAGACAAAAGAATTACGTTACAAACCACCATCACAAAACAGCTCAGACATAATAAGCAAGAAAGACCAAAGCAGCACACACTGAGAAATACTGCAGTCTTCAGCAAATAAAACCATTAAGAGAAAGATCAATGCTCTCTCTCTGGCTTTGACATTCTGAATGATGCTAAATGTGTAAATCAGGGCCTCTGTGCCTTGATTTCCCAATCTGTGCCACAGGGCCACCCCATTCGATGTTACTGATGTGTCTCAACTTACCACTGCAGGAAGAGGTCGTGCACAAACTCCTGTTTCCTTATCATCCTCCAAATGATCGGCAGATGTCCAAACAAAAAGCTGCAGAAAATGAAGGTTAAGAGCATCACAAGGGTGCCAACACAGGGTTTTGTATGGATTGCAATCCTTGCTGCTCGGCGATGCAACATGAGCCCTGCTCATGCTTTCCTCATTGTAAGGACACGTAAAAACAACACCGAGGTGTGCCAAAACCCAGCCCTCACGTGGGTAAGCTGAGGACCAGGATCTCACTGGTGCAGCCATGCAGCAGAGAGGACCAGTGCAGAGATGCAGGACAAGGTCTGATTTGCTTCGCTGTGACAGGAGATGCTTGGGTCTGGGTGGGAACCTTGAACAACAACCTCGAAGGACGATCACTGATTAACATGGAAATTGCAGAAATGAATAAAAAGGGTAAACTCTTCAAATACAACAGCTGTATTAAAAACTTAGAGATCAATTCCTTCCCTCAGCTGCGAGTGGTGAATTCCCACCGGCTTTGCGCACATCTGAAGGCAGATTTGGCCGAGCTCCTCTCTAAATGAACCAAGCTGAGCTCGAGATCTGTTCTCCATTTGAGAGACAGCCACGCTATCACCCTCTGCAGTATAAACAAGGTCTAGGGGAAAAAACAGCCTCTTATTTAATTTCTGTTGGAACCGAGAGGCACTTAAAATAACAAGCACTCAACAGAGGTACCCAGCATCTACAGAAGCTTTTAATCCTTCGTGTGTTTGACTCCTCCATTGTAACTGGACTCCAAAGAGATGCGGAAGCACCAAATACAAGAGATGAGCTAAAGCTCTGGGAACTGCTCTATCTGCAGTGCATGAAGCAAGGTCCCACTCACAGCTCCTCTTGTGTGACATGTGAGCCCTCAGAGATATTTTTCATCCTCTGTCCCATCACTAAACAATTAAGCCAGATCTAAACAGGCCTAAATAATTTGTCTGCTAATGAGAAGTCGATAAAAAAACTAAGCAAGGGTTTGGTTTGGGATATGTAACTATGTGACACTACCATCTGAAAACACACATTTGTTAAGAAATCCCTTTTGCCCATTTCTTGCTATTAAATCTCTAATATGACGCCAGCCTTTGAAGAGACGACCTCCTCTCTTCACAGGTGAGCCATTCATGCCATACAAATGACACAAAGGCACTAAGACTCACTTTTCCAGCCTCTCCTGCACAAGTCTCCATTAAAGATGGTAGATCTGACAAAATAAATCAGCCCAGGAAACCAAGGGTGTCAACGTAATCTTGTCATCCCACAGCCACAAGGCTTTAGACAAAGGCTGAGGTTTTGATAAGCTCCTGTTGTACTTCATCCTACAATTGGGCTTTCTTAAGCTTTTATAAAAGGGAA